AGAGGCTTTGGTTGACGGTAGGCTTCATTGGGTGAGTAGGCCGAGACGGTACCATCCGGCTCGCCGGATTATATCATTTGACTTAGCGGATGAACAATTCCGGGAAGTCTCGAAACCGGATTGCGGTGGTCTCAATAGGTGTAACTTTCATCTGTCTGTTTTACGAGGTTGTCTCGCCGTAGCTGTTTATGGGAATTATGGTAAGTTGGAGATATGGATCATGAAGCGTTACAACGACAAGGAATCTGGGTTAAAGAGTTCATCATTGGAGCTTACACCCCCAAGTGTTTGAAGCTAAATTTGGATCGATATACCGTTGAAGATATGGAAGAACAACAGCTCAAACGGTAAAGCCGTTCGAGTTCTTTGCTTCCTTGAAAACGGAGAATTGTTGTTGGAGTATAAGAACAGGGTTCTGGTGTCTTATGATCCAAAGAAGGGGAAATTCAGAGAGCTTGCGGTTCAGGGGATACCTAATTGGTTCCAAACAGTTGTTCATACAGGCAGTTTGAATTGGCTTTGAATGTGAGTCCATTCATCTCTTTATTATGCATTCCAATGCTTTGTTTGTACTTCTTCAATTCACCTTTGTTGCTTACATTGATACACTTCATTGTCATTTATGAACATTGTTATCACATACAATCCAAATTTGGCAATAAACAAGTAGGCATTCAATGATACGATACCTAATAAGAAAAAACCAAAATGGACTGCCATGTGAAGAGGATTTTTCAAGCTCCTAATAATCAACAACTTGCAAGTAACCAAATGGCATTTGTTTTCTTGCTTGAATCTACTCTGAATTGTCCTTTGCTGTTCAATGAAAGCAGGAAAGGGTACAAATCTTGGAAGGGCGTTCCATTAATTTAGATTTAGTTTATCAAAATGAGGGATCTTTTGGATCTTGAAGAGCAATATACTGCTTTTTCTTTGTTTTCCCACGGATCCAAAAAAAATATTGCAGAAAAGTCATAAAGGGGGGCCTATGATGTGTCATCTAGTGGCACATGGTAAGAGAATGAGAGATTCCCTTCCAAATGGGACTCTTCCCCCGTCCACTTCTCAAAGTATCAATCATTTTCTGTTTTACTTCGAATTTTTTAAAACTATCTTGTAGGCTGCAATAGTTTACACGAAAAGCTTTGCACTGGTGAGCAGCTGCAAAGCTTCCAAAGGTCATATCATGCGGCTTCATTTCGCAGTTAATAAATTTGTAGGACCACTGCTCGGAAGCTGTGAGAAAAATTAAGGCTAATGAAACTCCGCAACGTCCTATCGCCTATCATCTGTTGGCAGACAATAAATCTTGCACATGAAGCTGATGGGCATGGCCCCCGCTTGGATAGCCGATAGCTTCATAGGGTCTGCCTCTAGTTTTTATGTTTAGCCTTTCGGCTTCACCCGATACATCTAATGGATCTATAAGGGAGAAAGATGCAGTTGTTGGTTCAAGCTTTAATGGCGGATTAGTGTTTACTTTTCTTTTCTTTTTTTAACTTTTAAAAGCTTGATGGTGCAAAGTCTGTGTTTTGTTATTTTAATGCAACAAAATACTACTTTTTCTTTTGTTCTAAGAGCAACCAGTAGGGTAAAGGAAATCAAAAGAGAGAATTTATATTTATTTATCCATATGCTTATTGTATAATAAAAGAAGGTTAGAGTATTAAAATGTTAAAAAAACGCGATTTTTAAAAACACAATCAAATAAACTCTTGAAGTTATTTTAAACGTTGAAAATTCTTCTTTGGGATTCTTCAAATGAGTGTTTTTCCTCCTAGAACCCTAAATAATGTGTACCTCAAAATTTAGATAATCCGAAGGTTTCTTACTAAACCACCAAGAAACTTGTGATTAAACACCTAGATGATTGGGATCAAGAATTCAAAGCAACTTGGCCACCAAGTAAATAATCCTTAAAGTAAAACAAAACCTAGATATAACTAAATGAAACTCTAATCTTACATCATGGTAATGCCATGTTTATGTCAGTTAATGAAACCAAACTTTTATTAGAATATATATCATAATCTTCACACAAGATGATAAAACAAGGGTAAATTATATGTTCAGTACCTCAACTATCACTTTTGTTATGTTTTGGTCATCCAACTACTTTTTATTTCAAAATCATACCTAGTGTTATGTTTTGGTTCATTTTGATCACCTAATACCGCTGGAAAAAATTAAAAAATACCACGTTAGCAATTCTGTTAATTTTTTAACAGTAGGTGACCAAAATGAATCCAAAACATAACGTTAGGCATGATTTTGAAAAAATATAATAATTGAGTGACCAAAACAAAACAAAAGTGATAGTTGGGATACTAAACGTGTAGTTTACCCTAAAAACAAAGCCATTAGTGAAGCCGTATGATAGACATATACATTCTAATGTAAGTAAATAAAGAGAACACTCTCATCATTTACTACACAAGCAACTAAAATAATACTTTACAACCTGGACGCCATGGAATTTACTATGATTAACGTATCGGCAAATGGTCCTTCAACACCATCCGTATCATCGCTCATGATCATGTAAGGTGACCTAGCTCTGGCCACCATTGCTCCTCAAATGCTCCAACACAGGTTTTTCACCAGTCAGCTGCTCAACCAATCCTTGCATTTCAAAGTAATCAAGCTGTATCAACAAAGCAACAGTGAGTCCGAGAGGCTTAGTTGGTTTACGCTAACAATTCAGAGATTTGAATCTTAACATCTACGACCCCTTTCCCTAGTTTCGAGCCGGATATCCTAAATCAACAATAGTGTTGAGATAAGTACCATTAGTATAATGTCGACAGTCATGAAGGCCAACTCTTAAATCAACCTCCCATGTGTTGCTGAACTCATAGGCTTTATCAACAGCATCCCCTTCACTATATCCAACAAACCAACATCTGCTCCTCGGCAGCTTCCTTAACTTCCTCGTAAGAACAATTCCTATTGCAAGTGTTAATAATATTCCAACAATTTAACTAAACCACAATCAAATGCTCTATTCTTCTCTTGGTCCCAAATCTGGTACATTGATGAATTGTAAGAGAATTAAGTAAAATTTAGCAAGAACTCATTGCTAACCTGGTACTGCTCTACCATATAGAGCAGCAAGTGCTGTGTATATGTCCTCTGGATCTTCAGGTTGAAAATAAAAAACAATGGCCTACAAACTCAGCAGATTCAGATTCATTGCACCTTACTTCAGTTTTATGACAGTGCCTGCTTCAGTTAGATTTTTCCATACAAATCTAGCTCCTACTAGCAGAACAGTACGAAGCCAGAAAAGGAAAAGGAAAGGAAATAGTGGGGATAATAAAGAGAAAGGAACCTGAGAATCGAGAGGAGTAGAAGAGGGTTTAATGATGACCATGAAATGCTGCAAGTCCCAGACACTGAGGAAGTAAGCAGCAGACGTGAAAAGCTGGGCTGGTCCCTTTGTAGCTCTTAGTGCAACTGCTGCCACATAAACTTCATCTTTGCCGCTTGTCAGAGTGGATTTTGTGAATGAAAGACCTGACATTTTACAACTGGGTAATGGCAAGGCTACTGTGTTGAAATTACTTTAAAAGAGATGAATACAAGTACCCACTGGAACAAACTCGGTCCACCCTAATGGGCCTCCAAAAGTATAAACAAGTTATATTGGTTAAATCTTATATGGTTTATCTTCAAATTTTATTTTAATTATACAAACATTTTTTTAGGTTCATTTTAGTCTAATTTTAAATATACTTTAATTATTAAATTATTATTTTTTTTCTTATAATTGATTCAAGTATGTACTTTTATATTTATAAACTACAACTTATATATATATTTTTAAAATGTTTAACCATTGAATTATATATGAATAGGGATAGACACAAGGTAAGACGAGTTTTTTTATTACTATGGCATAAATCTATTTTGACGTGTAATGATATTTCATCCGTCTCAAAATTTAAGAGAAAACCCGTCCTATCTAACTCATCACAAAAAAAAAAAAATCTTTTTATTCGATATCACTGATTATGGAGTACAATAAATAACTTATAAAACACTTTATCACATCATATGGTCATGTAATAAGTGACGATTAGGGTTGTAAAGAAGTCGAGTCGAATTCGAGTATTGCTGAGTCCGATTTAACTCGAAGACTTGTGAGCCTAAAATTTTTAAGCTCGACTCGAATTCAAAACCATGAATTGAAGCTCAAAATAAAAAAAAATATTAAATTTAACTCGTTTGAAGCTCAAATTCGAACCTAAATCTTAACTACATGAAAATCTTATATTGCAATTTAAAAAAATCAACACATGAATGTTTATATTATTAATAATTTAATTTTTAAAAAATAAAATTTGAATATATTATTTTTTTTTCGAATTGCTCAAAAGTTGAATAACAAAAGTTGAATAACAAGTGGCTCGTTTCAACTCGTTAAGAATTCGAACTCGAGCCTATTATTTATCAAACTTTGATCGAGTCAATCTCGTATCACTTATAACCCTAGTCAATCTCGTCTCACTTATAACCTAGTTACCGCATTGTGTACCAACTTTAAGAGTAGAAACAGCGTGGCAAATGAAAATGAAAGGTCTAGGATTTTAAACAAGATATACATGTGCACTAAATCACATTAAAGAACAAAAACTTATATCAGATTTTGGGAGTATTGGAGCCATGGTGAAAAATCGAACAATGAACAAATGTTAAACAAAAGGACTAGGATTTTATTGTAATCAAGAGATTGAGGACAACATGCAGACTTGACACACTGCCATTTGTAATAAAAACATACAAGCAAAACCAAATAACCTTAAACCAAACCTGGTTTAGGACCCAACAAACCCATCCCTTTGCAAATTGAACATGAAACTATTTCTCTTTTGGCATACGCATTGCACGTTAGTTTAGCCACTTTGCAAGTTGCTATCGGTTGGGCCTCGACCATCCTTTCTTATTGAACTACATAGAAAAACTAGTTGACTCGACATGCAAACTTAGTCATCACTTGAAAAGGCTTCCATTACTCGGTCTTCTTTTCTGGTTCACCTTCTATTTCGACTTTCCCCTCGGCTTCTGCTGGTTTTGCTTCTTCTTCTGTCTTCTCAGCTTCCTCTTTGGGTGCTTCGATAGCGGCCTCTGGTTCTGGTTCGGGTTCAGCTGGTGTCTCACTAGACTCAGTAGTTTCTTTGATTCCAACGGTTGGCTCAGTGGCTTCCTTGCTCTCCTCCACGGCTGGTTCTGCCACTGTTTCCTTTGGAGTCTCCTTCACTGGCTCCTCAGTCACTGGCTCCTCAGTCACAACCTTGGATTCTTCAACCACCTCTTTGGTTTCAACTTCAACTGAGGCTTCAGCTTCTGTAGCCACAGGTTCCTCGATCGCCTCTGCAGCTGCTGCAGGCTCGGCTTCCTTTGGCTTTTCGGCAACAGGCTCCGTCGCAGCAGCTTCGGCAACTACCTCTTCGGCTTTGGTTTCTCGGTCCTTGACTGTTTCTTCAGTTTTCTCCTCATGAAGTGCAACTTGAGACGATACAACCTATAAAACATATCATGAGAACATCATATAAACCATAAAACCAAGTTCCTGAAAGATGAAATCAAAAAGAAAACGTCAAAGAAAAAGGGTTTTCGATAAAAAAAAACCGTCAAGATCATGATCGTTTGCTTCAAACAAGACCAGCTGATGAATGAACACAAAGAAATTTGAATACCTCAGCAGTAGCCATAGGAATCCCAAGGAGATGTAATTAGAACTAGGAAGAAAATCTCTCGGAAGAAGAAGAAGATTACTCTAATTCTTGTGTTTGATGGGCATGGGTGAATGAAAAGAAGCTGCTTATATAGATGTAATAGAGGCATAAAAGTTGATGAGAGGTGGGGGTGCCATTGAAGAATTCTGGATTTGACAACTCATCTCACAGAGTACAAGGTAATCACTCATTAGCTTATCTGGCAAAGGTATTTCAAATTTAGAACAAAAACAGGTGGTGGAATTGACTACTAGTGCTAATCACAATTAAGTTGAAAGATGAATGGGAAAAAGTTGAGCCGACCATACCACAAAAAGGTGCAACCAATGGGTGCAGTTTACTTGAAAGAAACGAATCAAAATCTGATGTGGCTGGTCACCTGGACCGTGACTTTCCACCTCTTTTCTGGGTTGAAAATAGTTCCATGGGGTCCCCTTTGGGACATATCTCCATAGCCCCTTCACGTTATTTGCCGCTATCCGTTTGCTGTGGGTTGTTGTTGTTTTCTCCATCACCTTGGCTCGCTTGGCGTATATCTATGATTGGGGGCAGCCGTGGTAATGGAAAGGTTTGGGAGTTTGGACTTTGGCCAAGCGGGGATTTGCTAGTTTCTGCTATGACGGTGGGGGTGGGGCCCTCCAAAATGGAGCCCACGTGGGGGACATGCTGGCGTGGAAAGCACAGACCATGTGAGAAGATGTTTCTTTCTTCTCGTGTCATTATTTGGGGTTTGATTGGGTGACTTCCGTGAGGGGTTGTCTGGGGCCCACACCCTGACATGCATGAATTTGATGAATCCTCTTCCTATCAGTAGAGCCAGTTCTCTTCACCTTTCCTCTCTCTTTCTCGTTCTTTGTTCGAAGGGTAAACTATTAAAATGGTCACTTTTGGTTTAATTTTTGTTCATTTTTTTATCATTAATGTTAAAAAAAATATAATATTTTAATTATTTAGTTATAATTTATAACATTTTGATCATTTATATTATTAATTTATAATATTTTAGTCACTGAAATATTAAATATAATTAGTGTCATAACCATTTTTATAAAACAATTAAATATTATTTTTAAAACGATTATGACTTTCATTTTGAAAAATTGAGTATTTTGGATTAATTTGGATTAAATTGAATAGAGTCGCCATCAACCTTTGGGTTAGGTAGGTCGAATACCTAAAAACGTCTTTTAAAACAATTTTAAGAAAAATCATTTTTTAAGACAAGATTCGGTCTGCGTTACCAAAGATTCATTTAAATGGATTCGGGAGTCGATTACGTGCGGGGAAGGGTAAGCACCCCACAACGCCCAAAAACTGGTACTGTGTCGCTTACATGTTGTCGTAAAATGGTGGAAACTATAAATCGAATATAAAGTTAAATTACGATCCATTTATTGAAATTTAATTAGTTTACTTCGAGTTAACTATTTAAAGAAAATCCTTTAACTCGATAAGAAATCTTGAAATTTGCAATCCTCCGTCGGGAAAGCTATTTCAACTATTTCTCTTTTGTAAAAGAATATTCTACCATTGATTATGTAAAAAAAAAAAAATTGCGAATCAAATATAACTAAAAACGATGTTTACATACGAGTAAATTGATTAACTAAAAACGTGAATTGAATACAAATTAAAAATTTGAAATTTACATTCACATAAATAAAATAAATTGTCACTTAAAATAACACACATTGCATCGTTTGAACAAATTAATTAGCAAAATATACTCGACTTATTTCAAGTTTCTATGTCGTTAAAATGCCGTACCGGATCACACCACTTCGATCAAGTGGTACTTTCCACGCCCATTCAACGCATACGTGTTCTTGAAAATATAATCGAATATTCTTACATAGATAAAGATAATGAAAATAAATGTAATTGGAAATACAAAATAAATATTTACATTAATGAAATTGAAAACATTATTTACATAATCCAAATTATTAAGTAATGAGTAAATACACATCCATACATAAATGTCTAAAAATAAATTAGTAATATTACAAACCAAAATAAATATAAAACATTTAAGAGGCTAAAATAATATAAACAGAAACTTAGGAGGCTAAACAGCAAAAAACAGAAGTTAATGGACCAAAAAATAGCACTAACCGAAATTTAAAGGACTAAATAAAAAATAAAATAATTTGGAGCCCATATCACAAACATTAAACAGTCAAATACTAGAAGTGAAAATAACCCAAAAGTAAAGCTTATGACTAAATTGAAATTTCACAGAAACATGGAGGATCAAATAGTAATTAATAAAATGTCAGACAGTGACCAAATAGAACATTTGCAAGTATGATGGCTGAATTCAAACATCCACAAAATATCACAATACAAGAACTTAGGACTAGACTGAAACTATTACAAACATAATGTCTAAAAGTCAAATATCACAAAAATGACATAACATACATTAATAGGACTAAAATAAAATATTTAAAAATGGGATGGCCAGATTCGAATACCACATAAAAATATACAATGAACTAAACAGTGACTAAAATGAACCAAAAAGAAAATTTAAGCCTAAATCAAACATTAACCCAATCGAACCCACAAGCCAACATAAAGGACCGAAATGAAAAGGAAGCAAAACAGATGACCAAAATCATAAACCTCATCGAAAATAAAACTAAGAACAACAGATGGACTAAAATAGAAGGCAACCCAGTTTAAAGACTAAACATAAATGTTAATAAATTCCATTAATATACATACAATGATCAAAATAAAATTAATCACAAATCAATAAACCTGAATAGGCATAAAACCAAACTAACATTACAGAAAATTTAAGGACTGAAATAAACATTTCACAAGTTCCAGGCCTGATATAAAAATTATCATAAACATCAACACATATGTTAGGACGAAAATATAACAAGAAATAAAAAGGAGACTCAAATAGAAAAACTGAAACCTAAAAGACTAAATAGGAATTAAGCCATACACAAGCCAATGGCTAAAATAATATATTTACAAATATAGTGACTAATGTCAAATATTAACAAAAATAACTTAACAAATAATAAAAGGACTAAAACATAAATAAGGAAACATCAAAATCTGAAATCAAGTAAATGAAACTTCATTTAATGGCTACAACAGAACGTTACAAATATATGGGGACCTATAGTGCGATTTACCCTAAAAATATGAGAAACACGGGGAAGATTAAGAACATATGGGGACCAAATGGGCTATTTACCCTTTCATGCTGAAACACGCATACCCTGAACCCCTGAACGGCGTCGTTTTGCTTATATGTTTCATTTAAGCTAAATAGGATAGTTTTTTTTTTATTTGTTTCATTTTAACCTAAAGAAGAGAGAGAGTAAGAGAGACAGAGAGAGAGAGGAGATCCAGAAACCGGTGGAGTCTCCACCGTGCCGGCCGCCTCTCGTCGGCGGCCACCGCCGTTCACTGACGTCGAAGAGAAGAGAGGAAGGCATCATTCGAAGCACCCTTTCACCCTGAGCATGGATCGGGGATCCGTTTGGCCTGAAAACGGCTCAAACTCCGTAGATCTACAATGGAACCTACGGTTTCTTCGACTCCGGCAGCCACTGGAATGACCTTGAACCGAGGTAAGGGCTTCGCCCTTTTCTTTCTCTCTTAGTTTTCTTTCTTTCTTTCTTTTTTTTCCCAATGGAATTTTTTTTTTTTTCTCTCAAAACCCCCTCCCACCTCTCTCTGTTTTTTTCTTTTTACCAACCGAATGACCCCCCCCCATTATGGTTGCCCTGTTGGATTTTTAAGGGTTCTTTCGGTGATAATGGTACCTAAGGCTTAGGGAAATTAGGGGTTGTTGATTTAGGGTGATTGAATCCCGGATTTTCGGGATTATAGGGATTTTTTATTTAGATTTATTTTTGTTTTTTATTGGGTTTTTTCTCTGATTTGCTGATTGATTTGGTATGTTGTCACTGTTGACTGCTTGAGGGATGGGCTCTGATCGGCTCGGGAAGCTTTCGACGATGGCTCGTCGACTGGAACTCACTGGCGGCAGTGGCTTGATGGCTGTTGGCTTGAACGGCTACTGGAACGTTGAAGAGGCACGACGGCTGGATTGGTTTAGGGTTGTGAAACCCTATTTACCATCGATCTGGACCGTTGAATGGGTCCAGATCGAATGGTCTATGTTGGTGCGGCGCTGGGATGTTGATACCCTAAGGTTAGGGTTTGCAATCGGGCTGCTGAGTGATGGGTATTGGTTGGGCCTCGGTTGGGCCCTGTTGTATTGGGCTTTGGCCTGTAAAATATGTAATATGTAATTAATAATATAATAATAATAATAATAATAATAAAATAACGATAAAAAAAAACCCGGACAAAAACGGGTGTCTACAGCTGCCCCTCTTTGCACATTCTTGTGTTAACAAGAATAGGGCAAAGATGATAAGACAACACGTTTTTGTCTAGTTCTCTTCCATTTATACATAGAAATTGGATAATATTGGTTGTTGGGGACGACACTGCTCATACGTGATGAAGAGTTTGGGTCGTCTAAAGGTGACACGGCTCCTACGTGATGAAGAGTTCTTGGCTATTTAAAGGTGATAACACGGTTCCTACGTGATGAGGACGGCTGGTTATCTATGGTTGACACGGCTCCTACGTGATGAGGAGATCTGGTCTGGGGATGACACGGCTCATACGTGATGAAGAGATCTGGTCGGGGAATGACACGGCTCATACGTGATGAAGAGTTCTGGCCATCTAAAGGTGATAACACGGTTCCTACGTGATGAGGACGGCTGGTTATCTATGGTTGACACGGCTCCTACGTGATGAGGAGATCTGGTCTGGGGATGACACGGCTCATACGTGATGAAGAGTTCTGGCCATCTAAAGGTGATAACATGGTTCCTACGTGATGAGGACGGCTGGTTATCTCTAGGATAATGGTTTCAAAGGAGACCAACTCAAAGATGTGTTTCAATAGAAACAAACTCAAGATTGGATTTTGATAAAAATTGTCTCAAGGGAGACGAAATTCGTTTCAAAAGAAACGATCTCAAAGATATTTGCTTTATTTC